AGGGAGTTGAGCATCCTGGAATAGGCCTGTAATAGAAAAACAAACCAGAGAGATGAATAATCCATAAACATGAAGCCTCTGTCATGACGAGAGAGACAATAATCAACTTTACCATGAAATTCTGTGAGTTTAGATTCCAGCACATAAAACTCCAGGTATTTTCTATAAACAAACCAGCTCTCGGTCTCATGCCCCACTGTAAAGCAAATAAGCACTTTCACAAAGTGGCTCTGTTCTCACAGGACATTTGTGTAATAAAAAATTGTTTATTCAAATGGAATTTAGTGTAAATTTAGTTCTGAACCTCACCATTTTTTCTGTCGTGGCGCTCCACGTCGATGCAGTAGACTGGAGTGCGTTCTTTCTTAACCTCGTCATCAAAAAAATCCACATAAGGGATTGAGATGGTCCAAGCGGCAAGGTTACGCAATGTCCCTGGAGTTCCCACCACCTCCACAGGCCCTGGAGAGTCGTCCTCAAACACCATCACTGCTTCCTCCACCTGACCGTACAGAGATGTTCAAAAAGCATTCTTGAAAAAGAGACACACACGTTACACACAAACAATCAGCCTGAGTAAATTGTACCATTATAGAATTGTGACTGCACACGAGTTGTAGTAATTTAGGAGGTGGATATACTGTGAAATGACATAGGCTACATACATATATATGGCATAACAATTGAAAGCATAAACAACTGAAAGTCTGAAACGTCAGTAAATAAAGCATTTTTTTAAACAATGGCAAAATTTTGAACTAAATTGTTATTGCAGCCATATAGCCTTTGAATGAATGAAAAAGCATATTTTATAGTTAAAGAGAACTTAGAGAGCGTGGGCTGCTTTTGGTGAATTTGTACTTCAATAATGAGATCCAAGATTAAGAATACACTTGAAGTTAAAGGGGACATCGGATGCCCATTTTCTACAAGTTGGTATGATTCTTTAGGATCTTAATGAAATGTCTGCAACATACTTTGGTTAAAATTCCTCAATAGTCATGTAAAACAGATGCTGTGTAATGAGTTCGATCCGCTGGTTAGTCAGGTTATGCCGGCCATTGGCGCAAAGTCACATGACTTTTGATGCAAATTGAGGTATTTATTTGGCAAATGCGTTTATCTCCCATTATTCGCATTAACCCATTTCCGCACAAGTCAAAAACCACCTCAAGCGAGCGTAAAAACGTTTTTGCGAATTAAGTTTTTTTGTTTTTGTTTTTTTTCCAGGATTTGGCGTTTCCATCACTCATTTCTGATGGAATACTTCAAAATGCACATACAAACAGGGTGATGGAAACATAGCTATTGTTGTCGCTACAGCTGGAGAAAATGGTAAATGGATTGGAAAATGGCCTTCTGAAAATGGCATTCTGCGTGAGCATATTTTAGATCCCTTAATCCTACACAATACCTAAATTTAACAACTACCTTACTACTAATAATCAGTAATTAGGAGATTACAGAGGCAAAAGTCGTAGTTAATAGTTAGTTAACAGTGAGAATTGGTCCCCAAACTAAAATGTTCAGTGACGACATGTTTCTGAAGGGTTTGTCTCACCGTGTCTTCTTCTCCTTCAATCATGGCGTATTGTGGTAGCAGTGCGCCCTCCATTGTGCTACTCTTAAACACGCCTTTTATTTTGCTTCCAATACGGCTGATCCCAAACGACTCGCCACGCTTTGATGTGTTCCTGTACGGAAAAACAAAGTGATATTGTTTGGTCGCAAATTCAAAATGGTTGCTTAAAAAAAAGACATAAGCAGCACTCTACATGGCACCAAAGTCACACAACCAATGACAGGGCACATAATACAATGAAAACATGATCACAGGAAATTATGAGTATACCCTAAATGCCTTTAAAAGAACATGTGCAATACAGCTACAGGCTCAAACAATGCAAGGCAATGCAGACAGTCCAGTAAACCCATGCATTAATCCTGCTGCCTGTGCTGAACTTGGACCAGTTTTACCTCCAGACAACAACCTTTGGTTTTACAGACAGACAGCCAAACTGGTCTAAGATGAGCAGCAAGCTGGGAGTGTCTTCCACCCCAGACTTACTTCCTGGGGAGGGCTGGTAATACTGTAGGGCGGCGTGTTAAGGTGGATGTGGCTGTGGCTCTGGAAGTGACCAATGGCGACCTGTGGCCAGTGATATAATTCCTGGCCAAAGGGATGCTGTCAAGTCTAAATGAAGCAAATAAGCATGCCAGCACAGATAATGGGAACAAAACGGATAAACATCAGCACCAAAGGACAGCTGGAGATGGACAGATTAAATGGTTCAAACGCACATCAAATTGTAATTCATTACTCTGGTTCATTTACAGGAAGAACTGGAAAAAAGGGATCTGGTGCGTGTAGCCATGCAAGTCAGTGGGTAGTTTGAGCCTCAGATGGCACATCAGTGTTTCCCACACACAGACTTTACTTGGGCAGGACGCCCAGGTATATTAAAGTCTGCCCAAGTATATTTGCAGACTCTAAAATCATCTCTTTCGAAATTACATTCACATTATTTTGCAGTTTTAGGTCATCATGAAAGTTTATCCTTGACATTCATTTTCTTGGCAGTTTAAACATTCATGTGATTTATATATATTTTTTAATTAAAGTGCAATAAGTTATGGGAGGTCTCAATTTGGTACTCGCACACTGTTCTGTCAGAGAATGTTCTGTGCACACACACCTGAAGCGTGCACAAAGAAAGCCACCTGTCACATAGCGCAAGTTCTTTTTCATGGTGCATTGTGCTTAAACAGTTAAATACGCACAATATGCAAGTTATGCCAAAATTCAGTTATGTCTTAAGTGAACGTAAGTGAAGTAAACCGTTTGGAAAGAAATCAGATACTGAATCCGTGCATTAGGTCTTAAAGTGACAGCAGCCTAATAAACCTGTAGCTGTCATTGAGTGTAATTAATGTTAAACAACAAAAGAGAAAGAGACAATCACTCACTGCTTTTGACTGAATCACTGTCAGCTTTAACAAAAATCATTCTATATTAAATTCATGATATATAACTCCATAAATAAATGTAAATTTAATTAAAGGGGTCATATGATGTGATTTAAATTTTTCCTTTCTCTCTGGAGTGTTACAAGCTGTTTGTGAATAGATAAGATCCCTAAAGTTGCAAAGACTAAAGTCTCAAACCCAAAGAGATATTCTTTATAAAAGTTAAGACTCGTCCACGCCCTCCTAAAACGCCTTGTTTAAACACGCCCCCACATGTCTATGTCACTGTGTGGGAAGATTTGCATAACACTGCCCAAATGTTCACGCAAAGGCATAACTTTGATTCTCGCTGTAGTATTGTTGCTGCCGCTGCCGCCGCCGCCACGTCGTGGAGACGCCGTGTGTTTCGTTGTGAAAGCGAAACTACTTTGTTTGGCCTTTCAAAAGAGGACACGACTAGAAATCAGTGGTTAAGTTGTATTTACAACACAGTTCCAGAACAGTTCAACCCAAATATTCAGATGTGTGCAGCGCATTTTACGGAGGACTGTTTCCTGATCCTGGGAGAGTAGACTAAAATGCCTGCTGTTCTGACTCACAGCCTGTAAGTATGTTTTCATATTTAAAGGATTTTCCACTGACGATTCAAGCGCGAGTTTTGAGCAGTGTAGAGTAGCGCTTGTTTGCGCTTGATTTGTCGTTTCTCCGATCACAAATGCAGACATGGTTTTATGTTTATGTGGCGCGATGCAACGCAATGCGTAAAAAGACAATATAAGTCATTATAATCCGTAATTATGTCCCCACTGGATGCAACAAATGCCTCGTTTATAATGGGTTTTAATGTTTTTGTCTCGTCGCCCTGGCCGGGACAGTGCATCACAGTATGGTAAGGGGCATAATATTTCTGTCACACGCTTGAGGTATTCGGCCAATCACAATGCACTGGATTGCTGGCCAATTAGAGCACACCTCGCTTTTCAGACCGATGAGCCTGCACTCTGATATTTTCACCTATAATACACTCCTCAAACACCAAATAGGGCTGGGCAATATAACAGTATAACAAAATAAAATTTAACTGGGCAATGGGGGAAAAAAAAATTATATATATATATTTTTTCCTCCATTCATTTGATGACAATTCATACTGTATAGCGGGTCCAAAAGTCTGAGATCACATGTTAAGTATGATATTTTATTCATTTTAACCCTTACCTTATATTATGAAATTTTAGAACATTGTAGTGTTTTCTTGTTTCCACTGAATGACATCAGACATCACTACTGGCAGTTGAAACATAATGGCCAAATAAAATGTGTTAAAATCTTCATCATATTCACTATACTGGTTAGTTTTTTGCCACCAAAACAATACTGAATATATTGTAAATAGCTGATATATTGCCCAACTCTCCCATCAAACGTTTAACTGTTCTTCATGACATTGAGGCAGGTCTTATGGCTTTCAGGCAGCTTTATATGGCATGCAGTAAGAGCACTGGACAACAATCACTTGAACCTCAACAATACACTTACCTTAAATCATCCAAACTCAAATTCCTGGAATAACAGGCAAAAGGGGTTACGTTTTGCCCTACAGATGTCTCTCTCTGCTACACATGCACACGGGACTTTATGAAGTGCATAATACTCACGGTTTGATCATGAAGCCCACTCACATTCATGCATTCCTAAGTGTTCGCTGTGAGACAGCCTCCAAAACTGAGTCAAGATTTCAGTAAAAGCAGATGATTGTTGATATTTCCAGATCATATTCCCAACCATTATTGTTTTTTTTGTTGTTGTTGTTGAACTAACAGCAAGCTTTTCACACTGTCAAACCTGTGTGAAGCCTGACCTCCAGCTTGTAAAACGGACAGAAGAAACATGTAAAAACTGTAAACCATCTCCTAGAATCCTTCTGATGGATTCTAAAGACAAAGGAACCAAATGAAAAAGCCTGCACTCTGATATTTTCACCTATAATACACTCCTCAAACACCAAATAGGGCTGGGCAATATAACAGTATAACAAAATAAAATTTAACTGGGCAATGGGGGGAAAAAAAATTATATATATATATTTTTTCCTCCATTCATTTGATGACAATTCATACTGTATAGCGGGTCCAAAAGTCTGAGATCACATGTTAAGTATGATATTTTATTAATTTTAACCCTTACCTTATATTATGAAATTTTAGAACATTGTAGTGTTTTCTTGTTTCCACTGAATGACATCAGACATCACTACTGGCAGTTGAAACATAATGGCCAAATAAAATGTGTTAAAATCTTCATCATATTCACTATACTGGTTAGTTTATTGCCACCAAAACAATACTGAATATATTGTAAATAGCTGATATATTGCCCAACTCTCCCATCAAACGTTTAACTGTTCTTCATGACATTGAGGCAGGTCTTATGGCTTTCAGGCAGCTTTATATGGCATGCAGTAAGAGCACTGGACAACAATCACTTGAACCTCAACAATACACTTACCTTAAATCATCCAAACTCAAATTCCTGGAATAACAGGCAAAAGGGGTTACGTTTTGCCCTACAGATGTCTCTCTCTGCTACACATGCACACGGGACTTTATGAAGTGCATAATACTCACGGTTTGATCATGAAGCCCACTCACATTCATGCTGTATGAGCTTTGTCTCTCACACAGAATATACAGCAAAGAAAGGTGCCACTTAACCCGGGTGTAAATAGTAATGACAATGTCATCAAGTGTGCGAATAACCTCTCTAATTTTTCACATAAAATCAAAAGCAAACGAAAATATATTTTCCATAAAGAAAATAAAGACCATTTTTTTCCTAATTCCTATTATTCTAAATATGATTAGTAATAGATTTTCACTATTATAATGCAATAACTATTAAAATCATCACAAATGAAGGCAGCACAGCGAATGTTACCATATTGTATAAACTGCAAAAAAAAATTCCCATTACAGTAGTAAGCTGTGGGGGGAGGGGGGTCTAATAATAATAATTATTATTATTATTACAAAAATATTTATAACAAATTAAAACACATATTTAATAATTATTTTATTTTACAGAACAACAGTACAATTACAATACTAATATTCATGTCTGTCTTCATTTCTGCACTCTCAAATGAGTCAGTCTTTTTCATAATCAAACTATGTATGAACAGAAGCTTTTTTGTTTTTTTCAAAGCATGTTGTGCTGTTGTGTGACTGGAGCAACAGCTCACATACACACACACACACACACACACACACAAGTGGAAGAAAACTCACCTGTTTAGCTTTGAATTTCTAGCAGGAGATTCAGCACCCCAAAGCAGATGCCGAAAATACTGAGGAAGAACAGAGACAGACGCATGATGGAGAATTCAAACACACCATCTTAAGCAGCACTGGAATGGCATTTCCTGGAAGTTACCTCATCGCTGTGGCAGAACATGGGGGTGAAGACATTCTCCAGCAGAGACAGCACATGTTCATAGGCCTCAAACAGACATGGCATCGTTTGGAGCTTCACCACCCCTGTAGACGGCCCCTGAGCGACTGCAGGAAGTGACAGAGACAGAGAGAATTAGAGACCGTGGCACACGACACATGTGCGGCACAGAAAACTGTAATGAGACTGACTGTTGTGGATTTCCTCTATGATGAAGGGGTCAAAGCTGATCTTGTCGATGCTCTCCTCCAGACAGTACATCTCATAGATCTTCTGCACTTCCTCATGCAAACGCTGCATCTCCGTGTCACTCAGATCAGGACACAGGATCCGGTCATTAAACTCCTCTACACACAAAAACATCAAGGACAGATTTTTAGTGAACTATTCCTTTAACCTTAGTTAACGTTTTAGGTAGGTAGGTAGAAACTGTACATACAGAGTGCACATGTGAACGAAATTCTGTTTCACTGGCTCATAAATACTGCACTAACTAAACATGTGCTACTGTACAGAATCAGTCTAAAAAAATAAAAATATAATAAAAGACGCTACAGCCTGCATTAAAATATAGCACTAAAAAGAACTGACAGCGGCTTATAGATATTGATAATGCACATAGTATTTAGGCATCTAAATCAAATTATTGAATTCAATTATGAAGTGGCGGCATATAAACATACAGTTATTGCACATTATAAATAAATACTATTATTGCAGTATACCCATCTAGATCACATGGAGCTCACTGCAGGGGATTCAGTGAGATATAATGGTTAAGAGATTATATTGAGTTCAGGAGTCGGATTGCAAAGCTGTTGCAGAACCTTGCTGTTCTGCCCTGAATGCTGCGAAACCTTTACCCAGAGGGCAGCAGCGTAAACAGTCCATGATGAGGATAGGTGGGGTCTTTTGTAAAGTTTTGGGCATGGGTCAGACAGTGTTTGTGTGCGAGGTCCTGGATGGAAGGCAGTGAAGAGCCGATGATCTTTTCCACTGTCCTCACCACTCTCCGTACAGACCTCCAGTCTGAGGCTTGTTTAACATTAAACATTGTATACATTAACATAATGCAATTATTGTTCACAATACATAATATAATAACTAAGTTATCTATTCTTCTTGATCCACTGAATGATATATACATATATGTGTATATATCAGAGCTAACATGTTAATTTGGTGCGATTGATTTTGAAAGAAATGTTGCATTAAAATTATTATTGCACCCCGCCCCATACGTCAACTAAACTTGTACACAATTTCGACGAACACGATGCAGGATGACGACTGACTGCATGAAGGAGCCTATTAGAATGCAGTTATATGCCCCTAAAAATCAAGTTATGGGGGCAAAAAAGTCTTGTATGGATTTTTGCATTTACATTAGGGGTCGACCGATTATCGGCGCCGATATTAAGTATTTTTATGATTATCGTATCGGTCATTTTTAAAACCGATTCGCTGATAAAATAAACATATTTTGAAACGCGCTATTTGGCTCTGATGCAGCCTGTCAGAACTCACCAATCTGTGGCCTAAAGCAGTCTCCGCCCACCGCTCATCTGATTTGTTGGGAATCACGAGTCCGACCAATCAAAGCGGAATTCACTCTCACTCCGAAAGCGCTTGCTAACTGGAGCTGCTTCAGTGATCACGCATCAGTTGTCTCTCAAAGGTTATGGCAGCAGCAGATGTTGCTTGATTTGCAATAAATCACAATCTACTAACATTACACTGAAGTTGCAAAAGACCTCAATATTATCTATGATTTCCGCGATGCAGAAAATGTGGACTGAATCGCGGAATCCAGTCATATTAATGGAATTTACTGTATGATGCGGAATGTCACGGAATTTGTCAAAGTTAATGAATTAATCAAAAGTAGTTCAGTACACTTAAATAGAGTCGCAATATAGACTAGTATCTGTAAATATTTAGCCGCAAAAAATGCTATTTAAATATTAATCCTGCATGTTCTGCGTGTCTCTGTGTATGTAAATGGCACAGACGTGCGGTTTTGTTTTCTACACATACAAAGTATGCGACGCTCGCGGTGATTTCAGCTTCTGTCGTCTCACTACATGAGGACATGAATACATGAACAACATCTTCAGAACTGCTCTGACTCCCTCTGAGAGTCACTTTATGATCATTTGACAGTTTCATTGGAGTAAAACTGCAGTGTTTCCCACAGACTTACACCATACCTGTCAACCCTCCCGTTTTTCCTGTATTTTACCATTCTATCCCGCTATCATCCCCTTTAAATATTTTCCCGTATTTCTCCCATATTTTTAACCTTTCTATAATATCTTTCTACAAAACATATATTTGATATGTTTGCTACATTCGCTTCCGGTAAAACTCCCATAATTTGTATGGGCCAAACCTCATTATATCAATAATCACTACAAGAAATTCCAAGGTTGTCCAGTTGCCAGATCTTGTATGAAACGCATCTTTCTCACACGATCGACGCATACAAATTTCAACCCATTTGTCCCCTCAACTTGGCAACCTATGGCCCAGTGATGCTATTGATATGTGCACAGGTAGAACCGCGGGAAGGAAACAATTGATCACTGGTAGAAATGGGAGGAGAAGACTCAGGTGTTGCTCCAGTGAAAAAAACTAAATATACATGTAAATTGAGATGTACCTTACACTTCAAAAGGCTATTTAATTGATTAAATATGAGCACTGCTGCTTTGTTTACTGAGGTTACAGGGGTAAACGGCTATATTCCTGGCGAAAAGCGCCACCTGCTGGCAGAGAATTAATTAGCATTTTTCAAGAAGCCCTGCGCTTTAGACTAAAGCCAAAAACTACCCTTATTTTTATGCAAAAAACACGCAGTTGTAAATGTGAACTGGTGGACCGACAAGAAGATAATGAATTATACAATTCTAAAGATATAGCCTACACTAAGATATATTTATGTTACTAAATTAATAGAATTGTTTGATAATAATTGTTTAAATTAATATAAAAATAATATAATATATGTTACTTTTGACTTATCATACAGCAAAAGTGCTATTTTTCCCGAACATATCTCATGATTGCAAACAACAGTTCATTAAACAAGAATTCAATATTGTGTTACATTTCTGACATGATATTGTCAGTAGCCACAGCAGAACTGTTGTGTGTCTCTAGGCAACTCAAAGTGTATCGTTTGTACTTAAATATTTTACAGCTAAGGGATTCATCTTACAGAGAGAGAGAAAAAAAGTTTGGGAACCCCTGTCCTAGGAAATTCCAGGCCCCAGTGTTATGACGAGGTCCCTCTCTGACTTCCACAGTGGAGAAAGCTTTGCTATATATTGTTTGGATCTTTGTGGACTAACATAAACAAGTCATCAGATGAGGCTGCTGAGAACAACTTCCAGATATCTTAGAGGGCAAGAAGAAGATCCCAGTGCAAGGCACAGAAAGGAGAAGACTTCCTATTGGTCCACATGCAGTTTCTTTCAAACTAACTGCACTTTAACCATCTTGAAACTCATTTCTAAAGGCCCAGACACACCAGATTGACATCAACTAGTGAACTAGTGGCATCGAAAGCCAACTGCAATGTCGCCTCAGGTCAACTGTTTTGGGGCAAAAAAACTGCACTTGAACTGACTGTGAACACTACAGCCAACAGCCAGCGAGCATGTATGTTCTGTGCCTGTGTGAGAGTGAAAAAGTCTCCATACCAGCAGGTGGCAGTAGTCTATATTCAAAAAGGAAAACCTGTATACAAATCTAAACAAAGCAGTGCCTGTTTACAATTTTTACACCAATCTTTTTGACCACAGACCATTTCAAAAAAATCGATACAGATGAGATGACGAAAAATGAGAAGCGTCTTCAGTGTATGTTCTCTTAACTTTTATTGTTTGCTTGCATTCATCACTTACATTTAGTGTTTTTTTCATGCAATGGTTCGCTAAGCTGAACAGCCAACCAGACTGATCCCCGCTCCACTGACCATTCAACATGTTCAAATGGTGGAAAACAGCAAAAACTAGGTGACAGACACTCAGTGATGGCCCAACTGTGGCCAACAGCCAACCATCAGCTTAGTAAGCTTTAAGAGCCACAAAGACCCATCCAAATCCATTCATAACTATGTTTGAAAAGCTTACAATTGATGTAAACTCAACACATACACCATTTATTCATAATGACTGCTGACAACAACAGTTGTAATACAATACAAATACAACTGTTCAAACATAGAAATGAATAGATGCATGATCCAAATTCAAACTGTAATCTACTTCTCACTGGAGAGAAATGTGATAAATGAACCCTTTCAACCCTTACTGTTGCTACATCCGACAAGCAGAGCAGGTTACGTTTGGAATAGGGCCTTTCGCACCGCAGGTGCTGCGATAGATGGACGGACGCTGAAGTGCAAGCACTTGTAGCAAATGTAGCACTGCCAGTTGTCGTTGGAGATTCTTAGTCCTCCTTCCCGTTCTTTCAATCGCTTTATGCAGCCTATACGTCGACATTTCATGTCCATTATTGTGAAACCCGCAAGACAACAAAAACACCGCTCCGATCACAGCGTCCTCCATCCTTCTGTTGTTAACGTTGTTCTTTGTTTACATTGTTGAACGCCACGCACAAATGACGTCACTGTGTGTCTTACGTACACTGTCGGTGCGAATACAACCCTTTAAATGGTACTGGGAAATAGTTCGCGCAAAATTGTCCCAGTACTTTAGT